CTAACAGAAGTGTATAAAAAAGTCTTCATGTGACAAATGTGCATGCAATATATAAAAAGAGAAAATAAACAAAGCTGTGGGGATTTGAGTTAAAGTGGCGGTGAACAGCTGCATGAGGCTCAGAGATATAGTATAGAATGGTAGCACAATGACTTATGTCTTTGGTCTCTGCACCACTTGACACCAGATTATTACGCTGCGGTTTAATACAGCCACATGCCATAAAGCAGAAGTCACACTGCATGCAGGGACGGAGCGTGGAGAAGCCCAGTGTCTCCTCTATTTTCTCGCTCTCGTCTCTCATCTCCTCCCAGGCTCTCCGGCGGGCATGCACTACTGAGTAGCACACAGACTCACACACACATCACAGAGAGCCCCCAGGGGCTCAGGTGCTTAAAGGTGAATAGAATCATATGGTCATGCTCTGTTTTAACTCTGCGTTAGCTCAAGTTTCACAACCGGAGGGGTTTTTCACACAGTCTTTTTTCTAGCTTTCAATCCATCCGTCTGCCAGTCACTCTGTCCTGTCGTCTGCCCTCCTGCAGCGAACCTGGCAGCGTACACCTGTTCCAGCCTAGGTCAGCCCCCTGAAACCCTAACCCACCATAAAGACTGGGAGAACTGACAGAAAGGTCAGAGGTCAGTCAACAAAGGAAACACTCCACCCCCTGACCGCCTGAGAAACAGTAGCCAGGTAGGTAGATCTGCAGCCGTTCACCAGCATCTATTTCTCTCTCCCACACTCATCTATTCACAGTGACATCATCAAAGCATTGTTTCTGCAGTCTCCTCAGGCCAGGGCAACCAATCACTCTCTCCCACTTATTTGTTGACAGCTATACAAATCCACAAGTGGGAAAGTTGGAAAAGAAGGCATGAGAAAATGACATGTGAAAACAAATGTTCATTTCACAGGGAGTTAAATAAACTCAGCTCGTACACTGTCCCTGACTTTCTGGCCGGGACATTTTATTTTTTCACAATGTGGATGATTAATTGTTCTTTCTTCAGTGCTTCAGGAAAAACTGATTTGTTACATTAACATAAATTCACTTATAACTCTGCACGTAAAGTGAATCAAGGGTCAAGCAAGGAACAAAGCAGAAACAAATCAAACATGAATTCAAATGAGTCGTTTGCAAGAATTACTGGTCCAATTATTTATTAACGGAACATGAAAAAAAACTGGCAAAAGGCCTCGTGGTACAAATTAATTCCTGCAGCCAAATTCATAGTCACACTCATACACACCATCCATAATAAGCTTGGACACATCGTGCATACATCAGCAGTGCACAGTGTTCGTGATTAGCAGGCGGTGTGCTCATTCTCTATCACTGAGATTTAACTTAATTAAACCTTCAACTCCATAGTGACCTGCACCTAAATGCAGTTTCCTTATATCCAGAGGGCAAAGGTCATCAGAAAGGTAAGGCCTGGCTGCAACTGACCTCAACCTCGGAAGGCTCAACTTAATCCAAATGTTAAACCGTCACAGCCCTGCAGGACGTTTTCTGTTAATCAGTCAGTGTACAAGTGGAGCTCACAAGGTCCAGGACTGCTTGGATATTCATGGGCCTCAGTATTTATAAGCAGTTGACTTTATCACTGACCTGCAGTTCGTGCAACATACCAAACCCAAAAATGTGTGGGCTTTTCATCTCTGGCTTAAAAATGATAAGAAAACTTCATATTTTTCCATATTCCAACCTTTTGTCTTATCAGTAAAGTAACTTCCATTGCCTTAGAGGGCAACAGTACATATTCTTGGCTAAAATATTAAAAGAATGACATTTTGGTGAATGTGCTTATCATTTTATTGCAGAGAGTTGGATGAAGAAATAGATACGACTCTCATGTTTACCGTATGCTAAATATGGATTTACAGCCATCAGTTGGTTAGCTTATAGCTTAGCAAAGAGACTGGGAAACAGTCAAAGTAGCAGTGTTCATCAGGAAGTGACTCCCCCTGGCAGAAAAATAGATGAATGCAATCTTGCAACATGTCTTCTCCACTCTCTTTTCTTCCTAGGTTTGAATCCAGTATAACAAATATTTGCTAATTACAGAGTTTTAGAGCTCCTAGTGTTTTGCTTTGGACAGAGCTATGCTACTGAATCTGTTTCCCCCTCCCCCTACTTCCTGTTATTATGCTAATCCTAGCTAATAAACGGCTGGCCCCAGCTACATATTGACCATACAGACAATCTTTGTGAGAAATCGCATTTCGAAAAATAGTTTTATTTGTAAAACTTGATCTTCAAGTATGGTGTGTACCTTAGCACTGATCCACTTCCTGGCATTTTTCATCAACACAATCAAGTCTTTTTTACTCCCATTCTCCCTGAATGTCATCTCTCTCATGGATCAGCGAATACAATTATGGTTAGTCTTTTCAGAAAACAGATATCAAGTAACAGAGCTTATGTCTAAACTGTGACTGAGGGGCTTGAGCTGCTGCAGCCCTGCCACGGGCGAGGAATTATAGTCCTTACAGGTTACATTGACTACAGGCTGCTGGCTCTTTACAAACTTAATCGCCAATTGTTGTCACGGACACTCTCTTAACTTTCCATGAGAAGGTTGATGGCACAGGCACAAAAAACCCTTTCCTCCCATTTCAGTTTCATCATAACAACACCAGAATATTAAACAACTCTGAGTGTCAGGACAGAGACAGAGAACAGTAAGCATTTATAGCAGAGTTTGGATCTAATCCAGAGCCTCTACTTAGAATAAGAAGCTAACTGGTTTCTTTGAAGTTGAGGTTTAAGTGGTTAAATGAGGTCTTTCTTTTTATCATACCTCACCTAGTTACTGTGTCCAGCCACAAAACAGTCTATAATTATTAAATCCAGACTGTCTGTTATTCACTACTGACGTCATTTATAACTGTACGTTTTAAATCATGCAAATTAAGTAGGTGAATTCCCTTGATTAGATCCAGTTTGGAGGTTATCAGTGGCTCTTTCATGCTTTCCTGTTTTTAACCATTTGCTCTTTGAATCAAATACAAAGGGCAATGACTGATGAAACCTAAGGGTGGTTCCTAAAAAACATAATTTCAGCAAAGTTAATTTAGGGTTGAGGCCTGTGACACAATGTCATACAATATTTGTAATTAGAATATCATTTCAAATTAAGTGTATATGGGCACTTTGGTTGATGTGCTGTTTAAATAGTTGGCAAACACAAGACTGTGTGCACAGTTGAAGCAGGGGTGTGAGAGGCAGGAAGCATGAAAAGTATTTAATTGCTGCCATTAGATATGAATGTATAAAGAAATAATTTGTCATCTCAAGTTTTTCAATGCTGGCCAACAGTTTCTTCACTTAACTTGGGGGTACAGTGTGAAGAGAAAAGGCCTTTACTTCCCTACATTTGCCCACTTGCAGGACATAGTGTAAGCAGGTTCCTCTAGACACAAACAGGAAAACACAAAAGCAGTGAACAGTGCACTTTCCCCTCTAGTAGTTTTCATGTAGAAAATCACATTCACTCTACCCAAACACTCGCTACTACTACTGTATTCAAACAATAAGTCTGCAGCAGGGTAAGGGGGAGAGGGATGTCTGGGGACCGAGTCGACTTCCTCTTCACAAAAACGGGACTGCAGGCGGATGGGGCGGGAGGGGAAGTGCGACCTCGGGTAAACAGTCTCCGCTCTCGTTTTTCCCATGAGCGCCGCAGACACAACAGTGGCCAAACCTTAGCAGGTATCGTGATCCCAGACACACCAATGGGCCACCTGAGTCGCCCTGTTGACCTTTTTGCCTCTGCCGAGGAAGCAATTTGGAAGCGATCATCCGTAACCGCGTCCATCCTATGAGGCCCAACAGGTGGGCAGCCCAAACTCACAAACACAATGGGTTTATTATCCTTCCATACCATAACCCTGGTTCAATAAAAGCACCCTGCCATCACCGTTTGACACCCCAGAATTAAGGCCCAATTTAGCCATCAACAAGTGCAAAATAGGGGGGTAAGGGGGCTGCTCCCATCTCTTTCTACAACACAGAGCACCTGGTAAAGGCCACAAAGTACTGCTGGAGGGTCTCACACTAAAAAGGGGAGGTCAGTTCCCATGGCAGATAATGGCAGTTAATGTGTTTACAGGGTGGACTTACCTGATACCTGAACATAGATCTGATATGCTCAGTACAAAGATTAGACCACACATGTCTGAAACAGAGGGTCCAGGTGCTTCAGAAATGCCCCTTGTTCCTTGTCTACCTGTCCCTGTAGGAACATTGGGTGCTGTGGGATTTGGGGTGAACCTTGAAGCGATGTAATCTAATCCGACTTTGGGTCTCTCTCTCTAAAACTGGACAACAGAGGAGAACCAGCCCGAGGGCAAACTTGGCCCGCCACTACAACAGTAGTCTCAGGGCCTATATTTAACAGCGGTGGGAATTGTGAGAGCAGCCATACAGGAACACATCAATGCACAGCGAAGGTCGACTGGGACTTAACTTCCTCCTCAGTCTCCAACTTGAGCAGGTCGCTCATTTCAACTCCCCCCACACCCAGCAGCAAAATAAAGAGATAAGCATTGTTTAGCCAAACAATGGACCACTTTCAAAGTCTCAAAAGCCTCCATTTTCACATCCATGGCTAGAATTTGAAGTCAAGCTTACAATAAACAACTTTACAAGTAGATGGTGAGAATTTCTTGGTATAATTATAAACCATAGAGAGGACCAAATGTCATTGTTCATAGATAACAGCCGTAAGAGCAGGTGCAGGTGGGGGAAAAAGGCCAAAAGACGTGCAACAGACATTTTAAAGCAGCTCACACTAGGTTCCATAGCTCTGCTTTGTGCTAAACAATAAGTGAAAGTATGCTAATTTCATGCGTTTTTTTTTTTTTTACATAATTTGACTTTTTGAACTAAGGATATCAGGATTCAAAACTTTTAAGTGTGAATAATTGCAAAAAAAAGTTAACATTTCATAAGGATATTGGCCTAAAAGAGTATGGAAAAGTTATGAAAACCAACCTTCAGTGAATTTTGGTCTGCCAGGGCTAGAGCTTGCTTCTTCAGCTCTGTGACTTTCTGTTGACATTGTTGGCAAAAGCCTCCCTTCTCCTCCGATTCGGAGATGGAAACCGAGCCGGCTCCTTCGGGGGGAGGCCGGCTGCTGCACCGCGCGTCCTCCGCCGAGTGAAGCCTTTTCCTGGGGGTTACCGGAGACTCTCCACCCGGACATCCCTCCACCTTCAGCATAAGGATAAGTTTGGTTAACCTCAAATGTGAGAATAACAACCGGTCTCACCTCCAGTTCGCCGAAGCGTGAGCATGAAACTGTTTGTTTGTACCTTGACGATACGTTTGAAAACAGAGCACCTGTCCAATGCGCACCAATGAGATGCAAGTTGTGCTGTTATTTTGTTAAGTATGAAAAACACGACTGAAACTACTTAAATATTGTGCAGTGACACACTTACAGTGAACATGCGGTTGTTAGGGTCCCTTCCATCAGGAGCTGATTTGCCCCCAAATGAGCTCATTCTCCCAGATCAAGGTAACACCCTCAGGAGAACGTCTTCGAGAGTCTCACAGGTTTATCGCGAAAAAAACGCTGGGCAGAGCCATAGGCGAGACTGGAGACCTGATTGGGGTTTACCAGTCATCTGTCTGATTGAACTGGACCAGTACCTACTGATCGAAAGCAACTGGTGAGTGTGTACCAGAAGTTTACAGCGGAGGATTTTTTGGGACAGGAGGGCGCTCAGCGGTGCGCAGGAGGCGGTGTTACTCTGAGAATGGGAGGGCTGAAGAAAACTTTGGTGGAAAAAGTGTGGGGGGGGGGACGACGACTAAATGACGATTATGAAGCCACTGAATCGTCTTTGTGATGAAACGTGATATAATTTTCTAATAATGTAAACCCCATTACATTACATACCTATTTCCTGTTGCTCTATAAGAGATCATCTGATTCCACACAGTCTGACAGTCACATGCTCTTCTATAAGCTTTTTTCAGCTCTAACCACCAGACTCCATGTTTTTATGGCTTCATAATACTATGATATTAACATATTGATTATTCCTGACTCTTTATTCCATATACTTGTATCTACAATGTAATGACATTTTAAGTATCCTTTAAAACGTTGTGATCTCCATTTATAATTGATGTGGACTTGAAAATTGTTTGCCTGCACAACAGGAGTTTTCACTGGTGGTCAGGAGAAAACAAATACCACTTTTAGAAAACTCCATGACAGAAAAGTCTCTACTCTTCAATAAGCTCATAACACTAACATCATTTTTATACTGTCCACAGTGTTGGCTGATTGTTCACACTAAGCCCTTTTACCACAGTAAAATAAGGATACATTGAGTTCAGGGTGCTTTACTCCTAATACTAATGTGTCTATCAGTCCATAGATAATTTTCTCATTAGGTTTTCCGTTTCAACTGTTGCCTCTCTTCAGCAGCACTGCCTCTGTGTGCTGTTGGTGTCTGGCGCCATCCTCTGGCAAAAACACAGAACAGTATCTCTCCAACTAAAAGGGTGCGGGCGGGGGTACTAGGTTAAATATTTAATAAGTACACTTTAAATATTTCATGTGGGTGATGTAAGCGACAGTATGCTCTAAAACATTTCTCTTTTCCTGCCCTCAAACGACCTATTTAGGGAAACCCATAGTCGTTTGTCCTCTGGTTGTCAAACTCATGCCGTATAACACATTTAAATGGAAAATATAAATAATAAAAATATTTATTTTATTGTAATTTTATTTTATTTTATTTGAAGAATTTCAAGTTGGGATGCAAAATACTCGAAGATTTTTTAAGGACACACAAATATGTGTGTTAAGACACAGCAACACAAGTAATTAAAAACATTTACAGTCCACAAATGGTACAACAAAGAGTTATTAAGAAAATATAAATCGGCTTGGTGTTCATTTTGAGCCTGTTCTAATTGAATAAACAACTTCTGTCAAACCTTTCAGTGGCATTTTGGCCATTACAATCATTAAGGATTTTAAAATGTAATTAATGGCAAAGACACTTTTTCTCGCAGGAACATTTGACTAAAAGTGATAAATGACACGCAGATATGATGGGTTAGGGTTAGGAGTAAGATAGGATGAAGTTAGTGAGCAAGAGAGGGCGTTGAGGATGCTGCGAGGCACTGTTCAGGGTCCTGGGTAACGGACAGGAGACGCACCTCAGTCTGTCTTGCCTCTTAAGCATCATCCTTTTCTATATTTGTTTCAATCATCACTTTAGGTTACTCTTACCTTGTTTTTTCTCTTTAGCAGATGACTTGTAAATCCAAATATGATATCGGAGTCAACGAAGAATGTCCCCAGGTCTATGACACTGGGGTTGGGCTTCTCAGCTCCGGGAGACCCCGATGAGTTTGGCAAAGCCATGTGGGCTGCGAGTATAGCCTAGAGACAATATTCCACTCTTTGGGAAACCTATTTCATTTGTATATCCATCTAAATCAGTTCTCTCGTACCCTCCAAAAAGATCCACAACGCTTTTTAATCCGGACATCCAGTGACTCACGGTGAGGGCTGTGTGCACGTGTGCGTAAAATCACCTCTCAGGTTTCCAGTAGTCCGAGAAGACAACAAAGCAATACAATCCATCCGGTATGCAAGAAAAAAGGTTCACATCCAAGTGAAATACTTTTTTTTAAGTCATCCCGAGGCTGGTCATGCCTGATCTCTGAGCGCTGGAGATCTGAGAGCGATGGAGCACCTTGTGCATGTGCTGCTCTGTTCTCCAGCATCTCTCTCCCTCACTCCCCCTTCTCCCTCCCTCTCTCACTCACTCACTCCCCCCTGTCAGACAGTGATGACCTGCTCTCCCACCCGATTTGCTGGTGCATCATTGTCAGCCCCCACATGAAGATGTAAAGCACAATGACAACCCTGGCAATAACCCCTAACGACAGATTCCCTGTAATATTCCTATAATATTCATGCAGGGGCTTATAGTGTGTCTGTGGCAAGCAGTAATGACCTCATCAGAGCATACTTTATGGTATGTCTTCCTCCTGTATAATATCCCTATACTGTAGATCCCTGCAGGATGAATGGTTATAGTGTTGCTTTATAGCATTGTATTTTCCCAAGAGGAAATCTGACAGGAGACACTTGATTTCTTATTGATGATGAAGATCAACTGAAGGGGTAGTTCATTTGTTCGAAATAAAAATAAAACTGATTTGATTTTAATATTCTTTGTAGCAGACTTTATCCAAATCAAATAAAAATGTGCTTTGTGTGACTCGAGCATATTTCATAATTTAAGGTTTTGATGTTAAAAAATGCATATCTAAAATCCATGATTGCCAGTCGATATTCAGTGAATAGACTTCACCACAGCAGGCCGAGGTTATATAGAATAATTGGTAGTTGCATTTGGTTCAGTATAGCTGATGTAATTAGGCTACCGTGCAGTATTGAAGTCAATGTGAATTACTGTGTTTTTAATGGGAAAACTGAATTAAAAACATGTTTCACATTATGTCAGTTCAGTTTGCATTTGAACCAGTTTCTCCTGAAGCTCAACAGCAGAGAGACAGGCTGTAGTGATGATGTCATCCACACGTGGAGCTGCTCCACAGACAGTGTGGGCCAGTATACAGCACCATGGTGAGACATGTTTTAGATTCACAGCTGGAAAACTGCATTCAAACTCATGTTGAAGGTGACAACAAAATAAAAAACCGTTTATGTGGTTCAGAGCTTTTGAACAGAAGGCAACTTAGTTTTGCACCATGATGCCGGAGGACTCCACAGACACAGCTTTTTTTAAATGTTTAAAATCAAAGCAGGAGATGCTGAGATATCCTGGCTTTCAGTTTATTTCTACACTGAAAAAACTGATTCTGACCCCTTTTAGATGTTACATGTTTTAATCTAGCCTTTTTTAATAGATTTGAATGTGTTATAGCATCCTTCTTATCTTTTTTAATTAATCTTAACATATTTTGTCACTGTTTAAAACAAGTTCATTTCATTCATTTAAAAATAATTAGAAAAAATTATGTACCATTTAATTACCACATAATACTGTCCTGTCTGCGCATGTGCATACACAAGCAGACCGCCACTTTTCCCTCCATTTTCCATTCGGAATCGGAAGGACAGGACTGCCTGTGTATAGCTCCGCTGTCGTGAGGTGAACATTCTCCACGGCTCTCCGTTTTAAGTAAGTAGGCTAGCTAATTTATAGCATTGGGTGTATTATATTATACTTAAATAGGTAGCTTTTTGATAGATTAACATTAGCAAACGTTAACGTAGGCCTACAGCAGCTAGCTAACTGTTAACCTAGCTTAGTTGTGTAGTAATGTTTAAGTAATTTAAATGAAGTGTAACATGCATCATTAACATTATAAGATAACTTAATACTGCTCTCAAGTTAAATACGTGTTAAATTCAATCTTTGTCTTGTTAGACTTTATTATTAGTTGTTGGCTAATACAAGTTGAATGTTAAACTGCCTGTTCCTATGGCTTTTTTTTTTTGTAGCTTCAACTTCCCCGCTGCCCGGCTTGTATACTGGCCATGCTGTCTTCCTGACCGACTGTAAGTATGTTTTATTTTATTCTTATCACTGTGGTAATATTAGGACACAACTAAACATATGAAATCACGTTGGTAAGGGTGCTTTTGGTAACGTTACTCTCTGGCGGCAAGGGGTTAATGTTACCGCGGCTAACGTTCATATCTTGGTCTTATAAGCGCTTTCACACCGGACCGGAGTACTTTCCCCCCCGAACTAGGGGGGAGGGGGGGTAGTCTTAGTTTCGCCAACACCGTATATAATATGCTATAAGACAAAATGCGTCTATGATGTATTTTCGATCTTTCCAATCCAGACGAGAGATCTTTCTCTCCCCCGTGCCCCGTCTGTGTGCGAGGGGGCGGGGCAGTTTACACACAGGCGGCTGCTACATGCATTCAACACACGGCGGAGAGAGAACTAACCGCTCCGAGGTGTGTTTAAATGTTACCCGTCTTGAGGTGGACTCTTTGCCAAAAGTGAGAAATAATTGATTGGTTTTGGCTATGGAATAGAATATTGTAACGACCCGGTATAGGGTGCTGTGTGGGTCACTCAAGCATCCCCGGCTCTCTGCCAATCACAGAGCGGCACAGTAATGCTGGTCGGCGTGCGGGCACTGTGGTTGGGGGAGCAAAGGGTGTGTGTGTGTGTGTGTGTGTGTGTGTGTGTTGTGTGTGTGTGTGTGTGTGTGTGTGTGTGTGTGTGTGTGTGTGTGTGTGTGTGTGTGTGTGTGTGTGTGTGTGTGTGTGTGTGTGTGTGTGTGTGTGTGTGTGTGGTGTGTGTGTGTGTGTGTGTGTGTGTGTGTGTGTGTGTGGTGTGTGTGTGTGTGTGTGTGTGTGTGTGTGTGTGTGTGTGTGTGTGTGTGTGTGTGTGTGTGTGTGTGTGTGTGGTGTGTGTGTGTGTGTGTGTGTGTGTGTGTGTGTGTGTGTGTGTGTGTGTGTGTGTGTGTGTGTGTGTGTGTGTGTGTGTGTGTGGTGTGTGTGTGTGTGTGTGTGTGTGTGTGTGTGTGTGTGTGTGTGTGTGTGTGTGTGTGTGTGTGTGTGTGTGTGTGTGTGTGTGGCCTGTTTCCGACTCCTATTGTGGAACGTTACAATATCATCATTTAATGTCATTATACATGTACAATGAAAGAAAAGCTTCTCCCTTTTAAAAAGGTGCCATCAAGTGCAATAACAGTTTAGCATGTAAGGGTGGTAACACAGGCAATTTGTCTAAACATTTAGCAAAAGTGCACCACATCCAGTAATATTTAGGCTCTATTTAAAAAGAAAAACGTAACATTGTTTGTCACAAAGAATTTTGTAGGATTTTGAGTCATTGGCCTAACACAAGTTAGTAATCATTAGCAATCAATTACCTTTTTTCATTTACCATTATTATTTTTCATTTCTGCTCATCTTTATTTTTATTGCAGGTTTTTCTATCTGATGTTGGTGTGATGTAGAACAGAACCTTACTCTTTGGGGACCTCATGTTGTTTTGGTAAGTCAATTTATCAAACAAATTCCTTACTCTTCAAGTTTTGAGCAAACTATTAGGATTTTCGTTTAGTTCACTCTGCTTAGAGATCCAAATTATTTGTAGATCACCATGACCCAAAGGTGACTGTGAAACACCATCACTAATGTTTGATTCCCCCCCCCCCCCCTTTTCTCTCTTTGGTGTTTGTCTAGTTTATGTGGCAGTGTAAAGACTGTGGCGCTGAAGTGTCTAAGCGATCACAAATTCTCAAACATTACAGACTAAAACATAGTCATTTTGGGCGTGGCCATCATATTAAGTGTATATATCCTGATTGTCCATGCATTTTTAAGGCTTGGAATACTCTTTTGGTACACTTGTCAAGGAATCACACCAATACCTCAAAGCCCTCTGCTGACATATTTACTACATTTTCCTGTCATCTATGTGGCTGTAGTGAACTCGGAACAGAACGTGATTATTTTGTGCACATAAGCCATCATCTGAGAAACAATGAGACAGTCACTTGTATGTTTAAAGGCTGTGCATACAAATCCAACATATACAGCACCTTCAAGTCACACAAAAGACGGAAGCACAGCTTGCATTCATTGGTAGATTTTAAGGACGGTGTTGTACAAGGAACTTGTGTAGGTGAAACTGGAGAGCCTGGTGTTTCAAACAATGAGGACATTTGCGATGAAAGTCAGTTTGATGATGTTGATTTAGATACGTCGAAGGATCAGCCAGAAATAGAGCAAAAAATTGCGGCAGTGTTATTAAAGCTGGAAAATATTTTTCATGTGCCAAGTGCTGCAGTTGATGAATTGCTGGAAGAATTTCAATATTTGTTGAGCACAGCATCTTTGTGTAGTACAAGAAATGTGATCCATGACACACTAAATAGTTACAATCTACAAGTTGACCAGTCGGTCATTGAAGAACTTGCATCTGCTCTGTGTACATCTAATCCTGTGTACAAGGCTATTGGTAAAGGTTGTCCTTTGGCAACATCCTTTAAACGCAAGCAATACTATAAACACAATTTTAAAGTTGTGGAACCCATAGAATATATCTTGGATGAGAAAGATAAAAGAACGCTACAGTATGTTCCACTATTAAAGTTTTTGCAGCAGCTTTTCACTGATGGTCACATTCTTAACAAAGCATTAGACAGTCAACTCATATCAGAGGATAGAGGAGAAGAAGTGGTATACAAGTCTTTTCGAGATGGTTTGTTTTTCAAGGATAACCATTTTTTGTCAGGAGGTGAATTGCGAGTGTTACTGAATTTGTATGTCGATGACTTTGAGATTTGTAATCCGCTTGGCACATCTCGTAAAAAGCACAAGATCTGTGGCGTTTATTGGACTCTCAGCAATTTACCACCAGGTTGCCATTCTTCGTTATCTTCTATTTATTTGGCCTTACTCTGCAGGTCTGACGATGTGCGAACATATGGCTATGAAAGGGTCCTAGAGCCCTTGTTGAGGGATCTTGTCATTTTGGAAAGTCAAGGTATTTTTATTGCACAGCTTGGAGATTGTGTTAAGGGCACAATACAGTGTGTCATAGCTGACAATTTGGGAGCACATGGAGTAGCTGGATTTCTTGAGAGTTTTTCAGGTGGGTACATTTGCCGTTTTTGTGTGGCACAAAAGTCTGAAATTCAGGAGAGGGAAGTGAGTTCAGGTGCATTTACTCTCCGAAGCAAGGAGATGCATGAAACGCATGTCAGATCAGCACAGGAAAATCAAAAACATTGTTATGGTGTTAAAAGAAGTTGTGTTTTCTCTGCACATCTTTCTCATTTCAATGTCTGTACTGGCTACCCTCCAGATATTGCACATGACATCTTTGAAGGCATATTACCAGTCGAGTTGGCACACTGCCTCAATTTGTTCATTTCCAAAAGATATTTCACCCTTGAAAATCTCAATGAGTCCATTAAGAAATTCCCTTACAAGTGGACAGACAAGAGTAACCGTCCTCATGCTATTCCCAGGGCATTCACGGTGAAGAAAACTATTGGAGGAAATGCTCACGAAAATTGGAGTCTTTTACGATTGCTTCCATTTTTGGTTGGACAGTTGGTGCCCCCAGATGAGCCAGCCTGGCAGGTCGTTTTGGACCTTAAAGATATCGTCGAACTAGTTGTTGCACCAGTGCACACGACACAATCCATTGCTTTCCTTGAAGCCAAGATTTGTGACCATAGACATAGGTTACAAGAGGTGTTTCCGGGTATAAAGATCTTGCCCAAACATCATTTTGTGGAACATTATCCACAGATGATCCGGTCTTTTGGCCCACTAGTTGGGATGTGGACAATGAGGTTTGAGGCGAAACACAGTTTTTTTAAGCAGGTAGTCCGCCACACACGCTGCTTTAAAAACATACTCTTGTCCCTGGCGGTGAAGCATCAGTTCATGATGGCATATCATTTGGAGTCAGCCACAACCGAAAAGTCTAGCCTGACTGTCTCAGCTGTTTCAACGGTCTCTGTTGATATTTTGCATCAGGATGTACAGAAGGTCCTACAGCTGAGAGACCCTGATATTGCTCACATTCAGCTCACAAAGAATGCATCTGTTAATGGAGTGAACTACAGGGAGGGTATGGTTATTGCTCATGGCTCTGCTGGTGGCTTGCCAGAGTTTGCAGAAGTTATCCAGATGGTTGTTGTGGAACAGAGCTTGAGCTTTATTGTTAAAGAGCTGAGTGCTTGGTATAGGGAGCATTTTAGGGCATTTGAGTTATGTCCCACGTCACAAGTCTCTCTCATTCAACTTGGCGCCTTGGTAGACCAGTACCCCTTGGCAGATTACAGGATTGGAGGACGGCGAATGGTGACACTTAAACGATTCATACACATAAAAGGTTAGGACAGTCATTTGTGTTGTGTTCATGTGTTGCATGAGTTGACATTAAGACACTAAATATGGTAACAAGAGGGTTGCTTTACAGGAGGATTAATTTTGTTTTTAGTCAAATTGAAACTATAATCCTTGTGGGAATTTTTTTATGGAAGGTATCCAGTCCTCTGACGTCTTCCTTAGCTAAATTACCCTCATGTTGCCATGTATTATAGAAATGTGCATGTTAATTAAACTTACCTACTCTAACTTTGTTCATAATAAAAGTGTATACTTAAGTAACAACATTGTCAAATATTTATTTAACAACATGTTGTTTTGTGTCTTTTAACAATTAGATTGAAGAATGGCACGACATCTGAAGTTGAGGGTCATTGTGGACACGGATGACTGTAGAAGACTTGATCTCCATTCAGGAATGCCAAAAACTCTGACAGAGTTACACGATACAATTTGCCAAGCATTTGGAATTGAAAGAGACTTTCGTATTCAGTTCATGGATCCTGACTTCAATAATGATTTCATGAATGTTACATCAGTACAAGACATACAGGACCGAAGTACGATCAAGGTGGTGTACATACTTGATGATGTGGGTTCGAGTCCATCTTCTTCAGTGCAGAATGCTCCCAGCACTCCTGGATCATCTGGAGCACCAGTAAGCAGGCAAACATCTTCCAGTGTGTCGTCATTATCCTCAACAAACTCGGATAGCACCATTATTCTGCCACGTACAGACACTGAACTGAGAACACGTGCATGGCCACGCAAATTCCCCATTCCTCTCTTTCCATACAATGTAGAGGTGCAGCTTCGACGTGGAAATGAGAGCTTCAGAGAAACTGGCACTCGACTGCAGATCACACCAGGGCTGAAATCGGACATCTTGGAGAAGCTAGCCGAGGACATTTTCCAGTATACGGCATATCCACAAAATCTCCAAATAGAGGAGGTAGCAGGGGCACTCGTCCAAAAATGTCCCTGTTTGAAAGAACCATCTGCCACTGGTTACTATGGCTGGATGATTAGCCTAAAATATAAAATGGCTAATTACAGGACAAAGATGCGAAACCTTGGCTGTCCAGAAGTGACTGTAAATGCTTTGAAAAACAAATCAAGTGATGAATGCATCCCAGCCAAAAATGTAAAGAAACCTAAAAAGGCTGAAGTCAACTATTGTCCTTCACACCCTGCTGGCGAAACAGATGAAAGCCTAGAAAATCTGAGACTTGAACTATTGAATGATGTCAGACAAAGAAGCAATGCACCGTGTGTAAAACAGAAGATGTCCAAAACATTCTCCTACAGAAGAAAAGAGGTGGTGCAGGGAAATCTATCTGCTGGAGAGTTCAAAGCCAGGTGGCCTGCACTTTTCCATATTGATGAGGTAAGTTATATATTTCACATGGTGAATGTATGGTGAAATGTCTATTTATCGTACACATTGAGCTGATACAGAGCAACATGATCATACATTTGAAATGGTGTTTCTGTCCATCTGATAAGTCCAATATTCACTATCTTTTAGCTCTGTTTTTGCTCTCCACCAACTCCTTAGTAAAGTATTTGGCTCTTTAGCTGCTCAATGTTCCGCTTTCCTCACCAGCTATTCTCTAACTGTATCTGTCTGCTGTTTGATTGTCTGAAGAAAACAGCTGCTGCTGGAATTGGGGTTTTCACTTTATACCTCAACATTTTACCCATTGTCAATTAAAAAAAGTATTAGCAAGGTTTAAACAACCATACAGTTTACAGGTCTAGTTTTAATTCCTTGCAATTACCTTAGATTAATAGAAATACTTTGGTTAGAACACACTGTACACCAATACACATCTCATCAAGGACTTGGTTAAAGAGGTCAAAATGAGAATCTATCCTTTAATTATATAGTAGATACAAAATATCATTACACCAATGGCTGAATGTGCTCTTTGTCTTCTGTCGTTTTGTTTTTGCATAACAGATACATGCTGAATTCCAGCGCATATCAACTATCCCACTTGAAACGGCCTTCATGGCGCAGTTGGACAGCCATCTACCTCAGCTGACATCTGTCTTCCAGAAGAAGGGAGGAGTTGTTGGCCAGAAACTAGCCAAACATCTGGCGATTTTGCAAAAGGTAAATGTGTGTATACACTGTTTTATACAAATTGTCATATACTCTGTGGAGCAATTTTATGAAATGTACCTGTCTAGTACCGTATAGAGCCCCATTTGCCTAACAACAGCCTGGATTACTTGCCAGGTGCAAGAATGCAAGACACTTTTCTAAGGAAATCTGATCTTAATAATGCAATAGTGGCATACTGGTTAGAGAAGCAGGCTTGTGACTGTAAAGGTGCAAATTCAATCCCCAGGTGGGGAAAGTGAAAAAGCAGAACCTGCCTTGAGCAAGTCACTTAATCCTCAGTGGCCAACAGATCAGACTGTGTTTGTACTTGGCAGATTCCAGGTGTGAACTGTGAAGAACAGAGCATTGCTCTTGGTGAAAAGTCCCTGGATGAGTAGAATTAGTAAACAGTGCTATCGCCCCAACACATTCAGACCTCTGACATTGTAATACATTTAAGTCACAATTCTTTAACATACTTTAGGTCAGTCCATTTACATGTATAATGAAGTCATTGCAATATTGTTATTATTGATGTATTTAGAAATATTTTAATTGTAATTTTTTTACACAGGCAACAAGTGATGTTAACCTTAAAAGGGAAGCAATCCTCAAGGCACTTTGCATCCACCTTGGTGAGGATGATGGACATCTCATTCGGGAGTATATGGTGAGTCATTGTAATTGCATTTGCCAGTCACATGTAGTGTTTTAAGATCCTAGTGTCAGGCATCAATTTTAGATAATTATTTTTTACCTTATAAGAAGCATGAAGGTTGAGCATATTTATATGTATGAATGTTGATATTCATCAACAGACTAAAGCATTTCAAACCATCACCTTGTTTCTTTATACGATGAGGTTGGCTTTATTCATTGTTTTTCTTATTGTCCAATGGAAAGACCATAATCAACAATGTCTTAGTCCACCTGTCAATCCTCTCTGACTTCTGACACTCATCACCAAGCTTATTGGGTCGTACGTAAATCTTTAAAAACACCTCACACATATTTAGTTTGATTCAGAAATATATACAGTATGACCAGCTTTGTTTTAAGGGATTAATAGGTATGTGAGCAATATTACAAAAAATGTATAAGATAAAGTATGTCATTAAAATTACATATATTGAATGAATACATGTTTTTTCTTTAAATATACAGGACATCGGAGGAGATGACATCACCAGAGACCTGCAGAAATCTACCATGGGCGTATACGTCATCAACAAGGATGGTGGAGAACCTGGACATTATGACGACGTTGGGATTTTTGTTGAAGGACTAATCATTCTGGACAACATTGGATCTGTAGCCCGAGCTTGTGCCATCATGCTGGGAGTCATCTATACACTGAACATGGCTTACCCCAAAGAGCTAAGGTACTACTATGAATTCATTCAGAAAGTGCTCTTGCAAATGGATGGTGAAAGGCTTTCCCCCAAAGTCCTTGGACTGAAGAACAAGATACATGCTGGACTGTAGGATTTCTTCAGCCGCTCTTGTGAACCGATGCCACTAAAGCATTACAAAAACACCAGTCAAACCTCAAAGGTTGGGAGAAGAATGTGGAAATGTTGATGGACTTAGAAGACATGTATTACATGTATTAATGTGTAGGTTATATTCTCCTCAGCTGTGTAAGTCACATGCTTCATGTTACGTCAGGATTTATTCTCTGTCTGTTTCCACTGCACTTTGTTGCATTTCGTTTTTATCGAAACGGCAACTTTTTCTACCTTAGCCAAGCGTAAAACATTTTATTTTTTATATTGGCAATTTACATCTATAGTTCTGGAGAAGAATGTAAAAATATTACATGTATTAATGTGTAGGTTATATTCTCCTCAGCTGTGTAAGTCACATGCTTCATGTTACGTCAGGATTTATTCTCTGTCTGTTTCCACTGCACTTTGTTGCTGTCATGGCCTCCACCTCTGCCTAGTCTGTCTCTCCCCATGCGTGTGTGTGTCCACAATCCAATCACCTCTGCTATAAGACTCCGGCCCTGACTCCTCCACTTCGCCATATCGTAGACTCTGTAACCACAGTCAGTCACGTCTCCTGTGCCTGCAGCTTCAAGCCAGCCTGACTCCTATCCTGTCTCCAGACCACCTCCAACGTTGGACCCTGTCCCGCTCCTCCAGGCTCTTCTCCCTGCACTCTCCAACCTGGTCAGACCTCCGTTCCCTTGGACTCCGTCTAGCTTCCCTGGCTCAGACCCCCCTGCCCAGTAATATTCAATAAACGTTATTATTGTGTTTGAAACTCCTGCCTCCTGTCTCTGCTCAGCTCCTGGGTTCCCTGCTAGCCTTAACAGTGGCCAGATTGTACTGTTAAGGCTAACAGGGAACCCAGGAGCAGAGAGTTTCAAGCAAAATAATAACGTTTATTGAATATTACTGGGCAGTAGGCAGGGGGGTCTGGGCCAGGGAAGCTAGACTGAGTCCAAGGGAGAGGGGAACGGAGGTCTGACCAAGTTGGAGAGTGCAGGGAGAAGAGCCTGGAGGAGCGGGACAGGGTCCAACGTTAGAGGTGGTCTGGAGACAGGATAGGAGTCAGGCTGGCTTGAAGCTGTGGTTACAGAGTCTACGATATGGCGAAGTGGAGGAGTCAGGGCCGGAGTCTTATAGCAGAGGTGATTGGATTGTGGACACACTCACACACGGTGGAGGCCATGACAGTTGCATGTTTTATTCGAATCAGAAGATGTTTTGTGTAAGACACATGCTTCATGTTACGTCATTTTGTACAAGATAATAAAGTAAGAGTATGTATCAAATATGATGTTTGTTTTTTATTTTAATATATTGAAAGTTAACATAGTAATAATGGCTGAAAATGTTTAATTAAATTCAACTTAATTTTTGTATGTAGAAATTAAACTATTGAATTGATCTGAATGTACAAAAAGAAAAAAGGTTACTGTTACATAATCCATTTTAGTATACTTAACATGGGTTTAGTGAGTACATTTTACTCGGAATAGTTGAGGTGAAAATTATCAGTATAATTAAATTGAAATTACTCAAAATAGTTTAACTGAAAATTATCAGTATAATTAAATTGAAATTACTCAAAAATAATAAGTACAGTGAACTTAAAAAATAAATCTGGATTTAGATAACTTTGTTTTGTGCATCCACTTACCTTAATAAAATTAAGTAAATTCAACATAACAATTTTTTCAGTGTACAAAAAACACTACATGTTCCATGACGCATCAAACCTTCCCTTGGTAAATGCCCATCATTCAATGTCCTTTCAATGTTGTAACCCAGGCTTTATATTATATAATTTATAGAACTTTCATTCATGTAATTCAATGTTTCTGGATTTCAAAAGGGCAGGTTACTGAGACAGAAACAAAAGTTTGTGCTGCTTTCAGAAGTTTCGTTTTTTGAGAAGGTCAAAGATGATTAAAAGAATACAGATTTACCCACACAACAATGATGCTTTGAAAGCAGAGCAGGGGGGGTAAATAATAAATATTTTAAGAATGAATACATTAATTGTTATCCCACAAAACACTCCTCAAACCACGCGACTCATCACCAACACTCTCACACACACACACACACACACACACACACACACACACACACACACACACACACACACACACACACTGAGAGGGGGGGGCAGGGGTTGTCAGCAGACCGATAATTACAATCCATAGTAAAGATGATTTACCACGACCGTCACCCGGCCCTCCCCACAGGAGGAGGTCTGGGCTGGGTCTCTCCCCGGCCGCTGATGAAATTCCGAGGACGGGGTCCCATGGGACTTCCTGTGCCGCTACATCTGCTGCCCTTGCGCACGCACAGGGGAATCGCTCCGGGCATCTCATTAAAGCCTCTCCTATGTCTTCTTATCCCCTTGCCCGTGAGACCTCTGCAGCTTCTCCCGGTGCACGGACAGGCTTTGTGAGAAACGTTTAGCAAATATTGATAGTTCTTGGCGCAGAGAGGAGATCAAAGGGAGAGGAGAAGGGGCTGTCTAAAAGGAGAGGGGGAATAATCGGTGCACAGTGCTTTCATGAATGATTTATGCTGTATAAAGTAGCCTATATCTTGGGAAAAGGGCATTCGGATTTTCTTGTGTCAGAGTTTGAGTCTTCAGGTCTGGTTTTCCCATCAAACTATAGTTCCAAAAATAAGAGAATGCAAACATGTGTTTGGAATCTAGTCAAGTCATTTACAGTCTAAGTGAGTCTAGATTTGGACTTATCAGTGGTTTGATCAGTTTAACAAAGACAGCAAAAGTCCAGGAAGTGTGTCTTAAAGCAGGTTGAAAGCAGAAATATATTACTCATGTCCAGTGATAGAATGGAACTAAGTACATTTACCTAATTTGGAGATTTTAAATTAAAATGTTTGTGATAAACTGAAGGATGGAAGTGTTCCTTTACCGCTTGAAAAGATTATCCAACCTTGAAAGTAATATTAACTATCTAAAAACCTATTTGGATTATGAATGCATCGTCACAAGGCTGTTTTTTATAAAACTCTTTTTATTAGTATTTTTCAATATACAGAGGACAGTCAATTATACATGTAGCATGTAAACCAGCACATCAAGGCAATAAGTGTTACAATCAACCCCTCCCTGATACTACCACTCCAACCTGTTTTCATCCAGGGTCACAGCTAACAAAAAAATAAAAATAACATGTACAGAAAAAGATACAGGAAAGGTTCATAGATACATACATAAAAATAGGAATAATACAATAAATAACAATAAAATAAAACTCCTTATCCAAGACAATGCAGTGCATGTCAGGTTTCGGTGAGAAGGGTGTCAAACAGGGTTGTTTTTCTGAGCTCATGAAAAGTTGACTTTCTAGAGATACAGGGTTCTCACGAGACTCTGAATATGACTCATTGCAGCTTACACTATCCAACTGTATATAAAGGAGTTCAAATGAGCACAACTGTAAACAACTACAGGATCATATTCAACAATGAAGCAGTAATATTAACACAAAAATATCATATGCTAATTCTTTATCTTCATTGGCCAAAAATAGACAGAATTATTCTCTTTTTTTTCTAGTCTGGAAAATAAGGTGGAAAATGATAACAGATATACTAGAGTTTCAGTACTTTGGATAGCAACAGACTCTCGGCCTGTCATCCTTTACGGACTCAACAGAGATAAATGGTTCTTTATGGACTTGTTTTAATCAGTACCTCTGAATAGAGGCACCAGTAAAAAAGAGGAAAGACGAATGTTACTGCAGCAGCAGAGCTGTTAAAAATGTCTATGTTTGCCAGCAAAGTTAAATGACTAAAGCCTGATGACTTTTACAGTCCCCCAAACTCCTGGACTGCAGTTGGCAATGAAACACAAGAGGCCAAAATGAAAGAGACAGAGCAAGACAGTAAAGAAACAGAGAACCAGAGGAAATCACACAGTTGCTCTTACATTAAGGCCTTGAGAGTCGTTTTCCTTTTTAAAGATCCATTCGAAGGCAGCATTTTCCCAAACTGGCAGCATTTGTCTGACTGGTCAAGTGGTCCTAAACATTTCACAATTTTTGTAAAGAACTGTTGAACTGTTGAGAACCACTTAATCAGAGGGACCACAAGCTTCCTCAGGGAAAAGTCTGTCCTTCAACTGTTGTCTCCACTAGAATAAAAACAAACAGAAGACAGAATTAGTTTCCTGAAATGATCTGTAGGTAGTGAACACATCACTACGTCGGATTTGAAACAAGTCCCTGAAGAAATCTACAGAGATGAGTAGTCAAATCTGTGCTTACCTGGGGAAGGTGAGCTCTGTCCTCGTGGTGTTGTTTCCTAGGTGCCATCCCAGCCCAGACTGAATCACTGCAGAGTCTCAGCTCTTTATATACTGTTTTGGGCCAGGTTCATACAAGTCTCTCATTCAGCGAGGAATGAGGCCCATGCTGGTCCGACCGGCTGAGCTGGGTTCCAGCAATGAGCGCGGCAGGGTAGCCGCCCTCAAGATAGAGATAGCAAATACCAGCCACTGCAGACGGAGAAGTCACATGGACGTATGGAATTTGTAATGTCATCTTTGTCTTCTTAGTTTCTCTCATTTCTTGTTGATTTATCTCACACTCAGACAGTGAGAGTTCACAGAAAGCTCTACGTTTGGGTTTGATGTAGAATCAGTTCTAAACGCCCAATGCAGTCACAATGAATCCAATTATTATTCAGAACACATCTCTTTAGAGAACACAAAGGGACTCTGTACACTAAGAAAAAATACCTTTAACAATTGGTTGGACGCGTGCTAATTTCACCAGAAACCATGTCAAATTGGAAATTGCTCAGGAGTCTTTAGCCAGGAGCAATTTATGCAGTTTCATGTGAGTTTCAGTTTCAGTAGCAATCACAGGAGACATGACTTTGATACAAGAGATTTATTTCTGTTGTTTTTCTTTTTTTTTACACAGAAGGAAGAAGACCATCCTTTACACTTTTTGTAAATACAACATCGGGACAATAACAAAGCATTGAAAACAGCAGGAACATTTTCATGTCATTTCGTTGCACTTTAAAATCACATTAATCACAGAAAATTCCCTTTTTAAAGCAAACAAAAGTAGAAATGTTTGACACCATTTACACATTACAGAACAAAGATAAGGAAAGAAAAGTAAGTTATTTGTTTGTGATCGTTGACGCAAAGTAAAAGAAAATACAGAAACTGGGAACTGGGAGTCTTCATCTGGCTCAAACAATAGTCTAAATTCCCCCAGTCCATCTCAGAGTGAGATATGCCACTCTTCAAGCTCGGTAATCAGTGCAGCAAACAGGCCGGATGAGTCGGAGAGGTGACTGCAGGTTTTGGTTGTACCTGTTTTAGCAACAGGAAATGGAAAGGGCAGTGGACAAGAGCTACAGCTGAATAACGTCCCAGATGCAATAAAGACAACAATATTTTCCCGAGTCAACATGATACTCTCTAGCATCTCACTGTAAAAATACCCATAAAAATAAAATCTGTGATGTACCCTGTAGTTTCAGATATTTTTTATATATTGCTACAGCAACACACACTACTTTGTAAAGTACTGTTACAGCAGTCAGAGATCTTTAACTCTTTTCGTACATATACAAATGTATTTAACAACCATCCTCCATTGAAGGAGTAAAGGGAGGTTTCAGCACTTTCCATGTTAAAAACAGGTGAATTTCACAATTATCCCTGATTGAACATTCACATTCAGGATGATAATATGTTTCTCCTTATAAATGCATACGTACACTACTGTGCAACAATCAAACATATACATAGTGTTGCCCTTTTTTGGGCATATTTTAGTGAAGGCAGTGTCTAAATAATGTTGTGCTGGCTTGGAGTTTGGAGGGAAACATAAGTAATGGCTTCAAATCAAAAGTCAAATCTAAACATTCGAAGTGAGAGCAACTCTGAAACTCAATAGGACGGTGTGTAGAGGACGGCTTGGGAGGAAGAGGATGCACATCGAGGAAGATGTAATGTAATGTAATGCTGGTGGAGGCAGCGTCAGCTCACTGTGCTGTCGGGGCGGCGATGAACTCGATCCCTTCGCTCTGCACGGAAACAACAAGAGACAGGATTAACAGGCAGCGCTGGAGAGGGGAGGGGTGTTTCAGTGCTCTTGACTACTAGTTTACACACACATACACGTCAGCCTATTGTAAAGCAGGCTACACAGGTTCAGCATTCACAGGCAGCAGAGGAAGTCAGATTTTATGTAGATTGCTGAAAAAGCAGAGAGGTCTGAGACATGCTTAGCCTAAATGTTGCTTCTCAAAACCAGGGCTGCAACTAACAATTATTTTAATTAAGGTTTATTGTTGTGTTTTTCAATTTAAAGAATCTAATATGTATCCAAAAAAATCATAAAGTATAGAAAAAAGGCCTGTCACAATCTCACAGGACTGGATTTATGATGGTATAAAAAAAAAGGGGAAAAACAGAAATTACTCACAAAATACATTTTTCATTTATCATGGAAAGATAATTTCTGATTCAACTAACCTATGAATCACTTTATTCCGTTTTTAGAAATGTATTTGCAAAAACAATGACCAGTTTTCCGCTAACTCTTTATCAGACCATATTTCTATATTTTAATGCATTTTACTACATAGGCCGTTGGTGGTTAGCACTGTTGCTTGTCCCTTGTTTTGAACACCAGCAGAAACAACTGAGACCTTTTTGTGAAGTGTTTGACTCTGCCTCGTGTACAATGCATGCTGGGAAACACAAGGCAAAACTCTGGGCAGGATAATCAGTTTATAATATGGATGAATGGACGGTTGATATTACAGTAGAGATGCACCGATTGCAATTTTCTTAGCCGTTTCCAATTTCCGTTTCTTAAAAAGTCTGACTCGCCATTTCTCTTTGTAGAACGATAATTGATATAAACAACAATTTTCTTTAATGGAAAATTAAATTGCAAATTCATACATATTGGAGAAGAGTCATGGAAAACGTTGTATGCTCTGAATGTAGGCCTACAGAGCAAAACATAAGTGAAAATTAGCTCGGCACAGAAATGTAAATCAAGCTGATAGTTCGATGCATCTCTGAAAATAATATCATAGCAATAGTAATAATAACAATAATAGGCACAAGGGTATGAAGGGGTTTTCATACTCAATATGGGACATGCACAAACTGGGAAACACACATACAGTACATCTTATTTACCTCATCATCATCATCATATTCATCACATTCATTAAATTCACCAATTACGGTCTGAAATTACACAAAACAAACATGTAATTAAAGGTGGGGTAGGTAATTTTGGATAAACCAGCTCGAGTGCGCTGGAATTTGAAAATACACAGCCGGAACAAATCTGCCACTTCCTTACAGAGCCCCTCCTCCAACACACACGAACGCGCACATGACCAATGAGGGCACGAGATAAGTTTGTGCACAGATGGAAGGCTGACAGGCAGGTAGGCCATCCAGTTATTTTAGCCAGGCCGGCTCAGATGATTGGTCGTACTTTTTACAGTATTACGGCTTCCACAGATGACATTTTTTTATGGATTTTTTGTCAAAGCACTTAAGATATTCATTGCTATCGGGATGTTAAGAGCATTCCATGGAATATAACAAAAAGTGTATCTCGAGCCGGTTTCTCAAACTTACCTACCCCACCTTTAAGAGGAAATTATAGACAGAATGACATCAATCTGAGAGTTACATTGGTGTGAAAGTAGGTGATTATGTGGGTGAAATATGAAGCATGGAGGTTTGAAGAAGCTAGAATGAGGGATACCTTTTTTTTGAGTTGGTGTAAAAAGGCCACCATTTCCTTTTTGCCAGCAGCCTCAGCCTGTGAGAGGTGAAACATGAGAGCATAATGAATAAGATGGGGTTTCACTTTATGAACTGTGTTATTAAAGTATTCCACTTCATATCACACCCACCACTTGAATTGCTGACTGCCCGTCGTAGCCTGGTTTATTCAGATCGGCTCCGGCAAGGCTCCAGATTTCCAGGCCCTCCATGTCCCCGTTGGCTGCCAGGCTGACACAGGACATGACATGAATTATCACAGCAAAGGGTTCTGTTTACCAAATTAAGAACTAAAAACAATCAAAAAGCCACTGGGGTGAAGAACAAGTTGCTGTGTTGACTGTTCTGGAACTTGTCCAGCACATCAAGGCAATAAATAAATAATGCTGAACTTCTTGACTTATCGTTTTGTTTTAATAGCTAGCAAGCCATGCTGATCATAATTCAACTTAAGGTGTGTTTCTGAAACTGTAAATTGGATCTCTCTTGACAAAACCTGTTGGGTGTCTCAGTGAGATGAATAACAGGAGCATACTGTGTGTCGTTCTATTGAGACACAGAACAGATCCGAAGCTATGCAGCCGGGGAGCATTCCTACAGTTTGTGTAACAAACTGGTTGAACCTGTGTCAGCTATGTAGGATGGGTCACTGAGATAATGGCTGATCAACAGAGAATTTGTGCCTGTTTATGTGTGCAATTGTTTCAAGACGTGCTTTGTGTGTCTCACCTGCACAGTTCAGTTCCTGCTTCCTCCAACTCGTCTCTGGAGAAGTGCGCTCCGGTCTTTCTCAGCAGCTTCACCACCTCCTTTTGCCTAAGTTAGTGAGAAGACATGCGAAAGAGTTATATTCTTGATTCTCTATATGTGATATATTATCATTCAGTTAAAACCAGCATATACTGAAATCATAACCTCTTAAATGCTTTTAAGAAAGTCAAAGTCAGGAAACAATATCTAAAGGAGAGTTGATAGCGAGTTGATAAAAGTAACATATGAGAAACAGACCATATCTCTAAGACTTCCTACTGATACAGTTTACAAGTATTTACCCTCTTTAAATGGTCACACATGCAGAGCACACAGTGGGTGTTTCTCAATGTCGAGGAAAGCTGCTCCAGAGCCACTATTTCAAGGATGCTACGTCATAGAGTGCCGCCGAAGGACTGTTCCAATGTCCAGGATACTTGGAATTCTACCGAGGCCGGCGTCCTTCGTTGCAGGAAATTTCGAGGCTGCACAGACTCCGCGGTCTTAAAATCCCCACAATGCTTTGCGCACGGACCAATTTCCAAAATCTTTGGTGGAAAATGTAAGGCGGGGCCTCTCATATGACGCACACCTGCACACTTGCTAGCCTGTTCCATTATTCGTTTTCCGAGGCTAGGAGGTATTCTTGCCTCGCTTCTGAAGGAACTCACTCGGAGGTACATGTGCTACCAAGCAAGCCTCCTCGACATTGAGAAACACCCAGTGACATTTGAAATTTGTTCTCTGCATTTAACCCATCCTAGTACCAGGAGTCTAGTACTAGACTCCTGGTACTAGACTCCTAGACTCCTGGTACTAGACTCCTAGTACCAGGAGTCTAGTACTAGGAGCAGTGGGCAGCTATTGTACAGCGCCCGGGGAGCAATGGGAGTGAGGGGGGAAGGGGGGTGTCCAGTGCCTTGCTCAAAGGCACCACGGCAGGGCCCAGGAGGTGAACTGGGACCTCTCCAAGTAGCAGTCCACACTCCATATTTTAGGTCTGGTCAGGGACTTGAACCGGCGACCCTACAGCTCCCAGTCCAAGCCCCTACTGACTGGACATCACATAGATGTAAAGGAAACCAGTTATGTTTTACTCCCTAACATACATTTTGTATTTTGTGTGATTTATCTGCTTATCGGTACACATTGTAAGCACTGGACTAAATAGTTAACAAATAAATAAAAAGGAAATACTTGGAAAAGTGAGAGATTTCTTTTTCTTTATGGGTTTACAAGTATTATTAAAAGTATCATTATTTTCTAATTTATCTTCCAATTGTCTACACTCAGTTTGTTAGTGTATTGGCAAGAATACATGCATTAGGTAGTTTTAACTCCCTTTAGGAAGACTAGATGCCGTTGGCAGCGATTGTAGTTTGGCATGTAAAAACAAGTTCCTTAGCCCGTGCATGAACACCCACGCAGGAGTCACCTGCAGTGACACTTGTGGTGACAGGAAACTTTCATTACGACAAAAAGACTTTAAATAGGTTTCTGAGCTGCGGGGATGAGCTGCTTGGCTTGCTACAACATTAGTTAACCTGCAGTTGAAATGAATGCTAAAGTGTTTAAAAGGTCTCCATAGGCACAGTCACGTAAAGAACTAAAAAGTTTTTTTTTTTAAACATTCTGTAGAGGTCGTAAAGAAGCCAGTATCTCTCATCTGTGAAACTGGGAACAGGTTGGTGGAACTGGTTTAGGGGACACTCCCCATATTTGTTCTTTCACCCTTTTTTTGTATGCTTTCCGCCACTCCTTATATGGGCATTGTGCTGTGGTGCACTGTGAAATTCAAAGTGTATCAGACATGGTGTCATCCTTACGGCTCAAACTCAAAACTCCAGTTCTATGACTTACTGTCTTTTCATGATATAAATGTAGACAGGGCAAAGCAAGCAGAGGTGTGTAGCATCGGAAGTGTAACGACAGGTGTTGACGCTCCGATGCATCCCTCCACCATCACAAAGGAAACAAGTCCACACTTGCAGTACCAACCGTTAAAATAGGACAACAGCCATTTGGCTCAGCTTAGGCAAATACAACGATTTCACCCTGAGGCTTACACTATAACATTAAGAGCGGCTTTCCCCTGATAGACATTCAGAGCAATGTCAACGAATGACATGGAGAAAAAATAAATAACTTTGGTAAAAATAAACAGCGTCTTAGCTGACAGATGACAACTAGCCTAATTAGTTTATAATTATTGTTTGGCCTCTATACTCCATTAGAGTTGTTCCCCTGGTTCCCTCCCCCACCCCCCCCCCTGACAGCTGCAGCTCCCTTTCTGTCATTTACTCAGAGCCAGAGTCCCTACCTAGCAGCAGCTCATTTAATCAACTCCCTTCTTTAGCAGCAATTAACAACATATTTTCAAGAATACTCAAATGGCTGCTTGTGGACAAAGGGGAATTTTAAATGTGTTTGCAATTTCATGGATTCCATTACTACTTAGAGAAACAGCCCTTATTGTTCAAAATGAGGCGAGCCGTACCTGAAGCGGACAGCGTTGCATAGGGGTGTGTCGCCGTAGCGATCTTTAGCATAGACTGTAGCTCCATGACTCAGTAGGTACTTCACCAGTTTCAGGTGGCCCTCACAGGCGGCAATATGCAGCGGCGTGCGTCCATCATAGTCCCCCAGAAACAAGTTACTGCCCTGTGCGAGAGACAAACATAAAGAGAATGTTAACATACTTCACCTGGTGATTAAAGGATAGAAATTAGTTTATTTTATTTAATATGGATATCACAATAGCATTATGTATGCATGAGGACTAGATGCCCTGTGTTAATTGTTTCAAGCAAAACCCTCATAAACAAAACTTTTTTAAATCCATAAGTCTACACTAATGACAGGTTTCTACAGGGGTGTGGGAAATGTGTTTTTTCTCTTTTTGCCATGGTTAAATACTTATTTTAATAACATTACATTTGTGATGCACTCTTAAATAAGATGTTTGATTTGTTGGCGATCTACATTTTTCTTATTAACACAGATCACTGTTCCTTTATAATAATGATCATGAACACTGTAATTTACAATTAATGTGACTCAGTTTAGGATATATGTACAAATATTACGAGACATACTAACACATTGCTGTTTTTAATGGAATGGTTGACAATGTAGAATATGACCAGCCTTATAACTTTAATTATCAGGGTGACTTTTTAAACCCCCTTTACTGTTCAGCAGCACATGAGAACAAAGGGAAACAAACCCTAACCCATAAATAAGGAGTATTATGATGAATGAAAAACAAAAACATATGTAAAAAGCTCATCAAAAGCAGGGAACATGTTTTATTATAAAAGGATTTGAGAAGTGTGAACATAGCATAATCACATTTGAAAAGTGTCTATAAAAACATCACGCTTATTCCATCGCAAATGCATACAAGTCGAGCCACATACACCGAGGAACACGTGACGCTGGGGCGGCTCTAGGCCTGCCTTACCAGTTGGGCCTCATGTTTTGTTCTGCTGGGCGCCTGTTTGTTTCTCTGAACCCTCTAACACAGGAATAGTGACCCTGGATTTTTGTTGTTGAACCATCAGTTTGAAAGGTTCACCTGTGTGCGTTGACCCTACTAAACAAATATAATCCAGATAAGGCTGGAAAATGCTGCTCTATTGGCAGAAGAGTTGAGTGCGTTGCTGTGTTTAGAGTCTCACAGCCCGATACAGGTGGATATATTAATATTGGTGATGACAGCACAGGGCATTTCCCTATACACGGTGTTTATGAAATAGTTATTAAATATATTATTTAGTTATCAACTTTATTATTGGTTAGCATTGATAACAACATGTGCAAACACATACACAAAAGTAACCCCCTTTACCACCCCTAATAGCACCAAAACACACATTACAATTGGCCTTCATAGATCAAAATTGAGAATAAAAAAATATATATATGGAGGATATATATATGGAGGATATATATATGGCGACTCATTGGCTTCCTCTGGGCGACCAGGCGACCCCGGGCTATGACCTATTGTTTTGAAGATGAGAACTTTCACTTTGTCAATAAGGGTTTCCATTTTTTAGCAAACAAGTGCAAACAGTTGATCCTTATCAACTGTAGTGAAGTTTGTAGTGTTGCCTACCATTTCCTTTAGGGCTTCCAAGGCTTCAATGTCTCCGATCTTAGCAGCAGCACATGCCAGAGGGGGGGGTCAGGGCATCACGGATGGCTTCCAGCTCCTGAACACACCACAGACTCCATCAGAAAAACTGCAACTTGACCGATGTGTAAAAATGAATCAACTTTGGCTTTTAAAGGTTTCTAAATATTCATGATCATTGCCTGGATTTCTATGTAGGTTGAAGGTTCTTTTGTCAAATTGTGCAAAAAGGAAAACAATGTTTTGTTAATAATCCTAATGGCTGTTTTTTGGGTGAAGTGATAGTAATATACTGTAGTAGTCACACTGTTTAGGTCTGTGTATAGCCTTACCTCCTTGCAGCTGATGCTCAGGGACTTGGCGATGACCTGGATGAAGCGGCTATCGCTCAGACAAAGCTTGGCTCCTGCCAAGTCAGCGCTCATCTCACCTCGCAGGTTCTGAGCCATCATCTGCACAGGGTAACACAAAACATCCCTTATGATTATTATTGTAATCTACATGGTGATCCAATTTTGAATGTAGGCACCAACCTTTTTCTTAGCATGAAGAGTTATATCTTTTTTGGCCAAAACGTAGGACAGCTTTGACAGGGCCGCCTCTGGAGTCATGTCCCCTCCAGCTATCAGCCCTGCATCCATCAACACCTGAGAAGCCAAAGGTACATATGACGTGATTGATTCCTTCAACTGGACAGTCTCCTTGTTTTCTATGTAGGAAATTAATGATTCAGAAAATGTAGTAAAAACTTGAAATGCACTGATCAACCGGCCGGTGATCGTAACAGTTTGATTTCCTGCTTGACTGGCCTTGACGGTGACTGGGTGATAAGCCTGGGGTTTGGAAATTCTATGCAGGCGAAATTCACACGCATGCATGAACATGCAATTTCCCATTACAAAATGTTTGAGTATGCTGTCAATTATCGTTCTTATAAAGAAAAAACATTGGAATAAGGCAGGTAAGACTTTAGAGAGAAATTAAATGTGTAGTTTAAATGGGTCGGGCGACTTGCCTTGCCGGTGGCGTAAGACGCGGACACAGTCCCCCTCAGACACTGGGTGCAGTTGATGATGATGACTCCATTGTCGGTGGCCTTCTTCAGCACGGCCAGCAGGTGAGGACGGTTGTCGGGGGCATTTCCGCTGCCATACGTCTCCAGGACCACACCCTCCATGGGCGGCTGCAGGAAAGCTTTCACCTGGACACAGACATATAAAGGATTCCAATTACAAACCCCAAAGATTTATTGATTACTGAACTGGCTTCTCAGCTGTGTAGAATCAAATTGGGAAATTAGTATTCCATGTTATCTTTCCTGCAGCTACTTTCACTGCAATGCATAAGACCATCCACTCTCCTAAAAGCCCATCTGGTGCCGCCTATGCAACCAGTATCTCAGTCGCTGGTTGGCTGGCACCAGGAGGCCCTACACCACATCATTAGCCATGGCATATGACTAGAATGGCTGATGACTGAAATGGCAGGAAGGAGAGCAATTAATCTGAAGGTGTTAGCAAGCATAAACTCACTTGGCAAGACCAAAGCAGTTACCATAAACTGTGAGAAGAATGTGACATTAAATGTGCCAGGCTCGGTCAGTATTTTTTGATGTGATAGCAGTTTGACAGAAATGTTTTGATGCAGATTACCAATGAAGCTCTCGTAGAGCAGAGACAGCGGGCGCATGAGAGCCTGGTGTCTAATCAAAACAGTGCCTCATAAAGGCAGTTAAAGGCTGTAAGGAAATCTTGATAGCCAAGCTGGGCAGCGAGAGCAGATTGAGATAGTAAAGTCACTCTCCCAACAGCCTCTGCAGGGGGAGGTGCAGCTAAATGTTACAGTATCTACCCCAATCCTCCCTCTTTACAGGGTGATTGGTCATGGCCAATAACTCCTTCTCATCTTTCTCTGGGCTGAGCTTTGATGGCAGTTTACATGACCGGGAAGGTAACGGAAGACGGGTAATAGCATAATTAAATTAAAGTTAACTATATTTTATTACAGGTAGACAAAACAGCAGTTTTGAGCAGTCAGTTACCTCTGAAGAGCATATATTTTATTACATGTTAATATTGTATGAAGAAACACGTTGTAATATGCAACCGCTACAATATTTGAGAGTATTTACTCTTTGTACAATTTGACTAAATATAATCTGGTGTTGATTTTAAGGCATTTCTTACTAAAAGATAATGAAAAGATATCAGATTACACTCTTAAAGGTCACCTATCATGCTATTTTTAGACAAGGTCTCAGATATATAAAAATATATAAAAAACATGTCTATGAAGTGTTTTGCTCAAAATACCAAACAGATCACCCATTCTAGCCATGCCTCATATCCCTCTATTTCACTTCCTGTTTCAAAAGTGCTGATTTTGGATATAAAGCTTTAAAAACAAACAAAAATTGATAAAAAAAGAGGGGCGGAGATTATGCCTGCTCATGCGGGAGATACTGCCGTGATGAAACGCCATATCATGGATTATCAAGGATTATTTCTGAAACAGTATGGAGCTCAAAGGCTTTCTCTCTTGCCGGTTATACCACAAGGTGAGTTTCTTTTTATTTCCTGCTTCTTCACACACATGCTCTCTGCCGTACAGGTTAGCTCCGAGTGTTAGCGATGCTAATGTAAACACAGACCATATTACGTCTAAAACAGTCGGGCATTGTTTCTGATAGCAACGTTTCTGATACAGGGTTCCTGCAGGTTTCACCAACTCAAATTTAAGACTTTTTAAGACCTTTTTAAGACCACTTTGAATAGAATTTAAGACCTATTTCACGGCAAGAAAGTATGAAGGAAAATTGTTATGAAAGAAGAAATACGTCCCATAATTACTTTCAAAGTAAATGTATTCACGTTCAACATAAGAACGATGACTGAACATAACAACACACAGAACTGTGGAAAAACAGGAAAAAAAGAACTGCCTAACCGTGAAAGAGTGTTTGTGTGTGTGTGTGTGTGTGTGTGTATACTACAATCTTTCATCGTTGCTGTTGTAGGATTGGTGTTTAGCTACGGTATTTAGCGTCCACAGCACCTCCACTTTTAGGGTTGACGTAGACCCAAACGTCGCCCAGAGGCAGTGGTCGCGTTAACCGAATATTTTCCGTCTATGACGATTTTTTTTTTTAAGCAATGATGGAAAAATCTGAAAGCAGTCTGTCATTTTGACAGATTAGAACAAACTCGGAACAGCGCAAAAGTTTCCCCGCAGCGAGGCTTCGGTGTTATGCCGTGTTATGCATGCCCTCCAAGAAGGAAATTATATAGTTTCCAAACCGTACTTTACCGTACAAACCATTGAAATGTCTGGGAGTTTTTGCTTTACGCTGTGCGCGCACCCGCGAGGTGCATGCATGCATCTCTCGGCGGGCATTCATAACACCGGCGCAACGGTTCACGAGCGTGCTCTCGCTAGCTGAAGCTTGGTTGCTAGGTTACTAGCTGGGTGTTCTCCGATAAGGGGCCGGGGGGATGCAAAGTTAGTGATAACTGGTTCCATGTTGATTTATTTCAATACAAATTGTTGGGGGGAACTGAAAGGCTATTACCGTACTGGTTACTTTGCAGCCCGGACATTTTCCCCAAAACACATTTAGACGTGATCGCAACACAGAAGTAGCCTACTTTTCAAATCCAATCATTTATAAATAAAAATACCTTTTAAATCATATTTAAGACCTTTCTAATTGTTTTGATCATATTTAAGACTTTTTAAGGCCTTCAGACCCCGCGGGAACCCTGTGATAGTGCTGTGGGTCTGCATTACCGATATGACGTCATATCGGACGCAAATCTGGATCAGCTCCGTTGTACACCCGTTTTTAGAGATTTGGGTACGGAGGAAAAGAGAGAGGGTTTTATTTTCTGAGTTCCCTGACACACCGGGGACACATATTTATGTACAAAAGACATCAAAAAGAGCATTTTGCATGATAGGTCCCCTTTAAGGGTTGTTAATTTAAGTGTGTAATTATATTTGAAATGATAGAGGAAACACATCAATCGATAAGCTGCTGAATGAATTCCCCTAAGAGAAAAAACCCTATTCAATTATTCGGTTGTGTGTCACATCAACCAAAGCCCAAGGTCGACGAGTAACCTCTGGACATTAGTTGGCTGTGGCAGACAGAGTAAATATCTGTGGTCCAGTGCAGACACTTACAGTAGCAGAAGTGATTCCTGGGAACAGCCTGAGCAGCCCCACGTTCCTGTTCAGCTCAGTGCTCACATGAAACTTTGCTGTGGTGTTTGCTCTCCACACTGTATCCCAGTTGACTGAAAACAAAGAGTCAAGACAACAGATTAAAGTGAAGAGAAGTGATTTAATGTCAGGGTGATGACGAATTCCACTACTGCCTTACTTGTGATGTCCACTTCAGCACAGGCCAGAGGAGCCAAGTTAGGAGATGCGAACGCATTGAAACTCCCAGCATCCACCTTGGTAGATCGATTCCCTCTGTAGAGGTTGTTGTAGAAATACAAGCACACCTGAATTGGGAAAGAAAATCGGTTTTATGCAGCAGGAAATAACATACATGAACAAAACACACGTCAGAGCAAACACTTAAATCTGTTTTTTGGTACGGTCCCACAATTGAGGAAAGACAAAGGATAAAATGCTTACGGCATTTTGTACATTGATAGATAGATAACCGTCAAGTGTTCTTTATGTATAGCCTTTGTTTCTCAGTATTGCGAAACACTGTCATTACAAAGCATTCTCAACAGACAAGTAGTTAAAGAGAGCTTTTGTATGCTTCTGAATACAAAAATCACCGTTTTTTTTGTCAACATAAACATATAAATTAGGTCAGGTAATTTAGAATGAATGTATAAATTATATATAAACCCCACACATGTAAAATATTGATAGAAAGAGAAGGAAAGCTCACTAAGGAGAGTGGTAATCTCCTATTAACTCTGTTTTGTCTTCCCAAACACAGCACATTTGTAATGCTCCCTCAATGAGATTGTCAAATAAATGTCTCTTTAATCATATATTGTTATGGGAGTATGATTTATGTCCCCTCTTCTCACCTCAGGAATGACAAAATGGCCAGCAATCAGCAGCGCCCCCAGCAGGTTGTCTCTGCCATCATTCCTCATCTCATAGATCGGCACCTGAAGACAGAAAGTGTCTTGTCTTAAAAGGGCATTAAAAAACGTAAAATGCTGCAGGCACTTTTTTTGTAAGACCGTACCTGTGATCCGGTGACAATGATTGGTTTGCCTAAATGTTCACACATGAAGGACAGGGCAGAGGCAGTGTAAGCCATAGTGTCTGTGCCGTGGAGGATCACAAATCCATCGTAGTTTTCATAGTTTTTCTAAACAAGACAAAAAAGACCATGTAATGTGGATCATTTTCGAAGCCGACATGAATACAATCATCATTTCCTGGAATATTATATTGTGTATTTCATAAACAATATCAATTATTTAAAGGTGGGGTAGGTAAGTTTGAGAAACCGGCTCGAGATACACTTTTTGTTATATTCCATGGAATGCTCTTAACATCCGGGGCTCTGTAAGGAAGTGGCAGATTTTTTCCAGCTGTGTATTTTCAAATTCTAGTGATCTCGAGCTGGTTTCTCTAAAATTACCTACCCCACCTTTAAGGAGTCATTCATTACTAAATGTTTACAGTATAAGTGATTAGGTGTTTGTTGAGGTTATCCAAAACATAAGAATAAAATGAAAGTACCTCAATATCCTTTCCTATTTTACCCCAGTCATCTGTAGTCATATTGGAGGAGTCCAGCAAGGGTGTGTACTCCATAATAGTGTAGACTATTCTCTTTTTTTCCTTACTCAGCCTGGAAGAGAGAGAGACATTTATGAGTTGTTGTCATTACATTCACTATAAACCAAAAATTAAACATGACAAACAGTAAAAGGTTTTAGTCTTTGCATTCGACGATGTTCACTCCAAAACACATAAAGGGCACACGGTTAAACAAATCATTATTATCTTCACTGTGACAAATGGTTATTTGTCCTCATTGTGCTTGTATAACAAAGTTGGAAAGAGTTCTTGTTAATTTTGAGAAGAGAGTTTAAAGAAAGGATAGGAAAACACTATAAAACCAGCTGACTTTATGAAGCGAGACAAAGTCTATTTAACCGGGCCTTCTGTCTCGGCAGCAGGGTGCCAAAACCTGTTTCAGACACACACAGAGAATGTGTAGTAGTGTAAAAGGGAGGGGCATGTTGGCATAATGTTAAAGAGAGCAGCACTTTGAACTTTGCAATTTCCCTTTCCACCATAAAGACCTAATGTTCTGTGGAGCTTTACTGTGTATTGTAAATACAAGCAAAGCTGAGGGACATTAAGGGGCCGATTTGACTCATCTCGAAGGTTATTTAGAAACAACATATCAGGTTAGGGCATGTTTCATTTTCATTCCAATTACAAAGGAGGGAGTCTTTCATGTATACATATTTATGTCGTCTCTAAATGGATTTCAACTGGGGTGTCTCCGGGCCCCACCTGCGACACTCCGTGTAAAGTAGCGTGACTGGCCAAACAGCCATGGAAAGATTTCATTTTTAATCTCCCTTTTAACGAAGCAGGGTGGGACAACCCCCACAGTACCATAGGGCAGCCTTATAGCGCCAGGAAGGGAGCTGAATGGAACAGCGGGGGGGACAAGAAGCAGGCCCCAGTTCACCCAACCAGGGGTCCTACAAGCCCTCTTCTAATTAGTCTTAGGTCCAAACCACGACCCTGAAACATATGTTGTTGATAATCTTGAAATCAAAGTGCCACAAGAAACTGTGGAAGAGACTATTCAAATAACCAATTATTCATCTATCTGGCAGTTTACCCTAAGGTGTACTACACATTAGCATACCAAGGCTAAGATGCCTTATAGCTTAAGAATAATGAATTTCTATGTATGTGTGGATAAGAGTGGGGGCTCAAGACGTGGAAGAAGAGAGTTGGGGGGGGGCAAACAGCCTGGTGGCATTGCCTCTCATCAGCACATGAATAAAGGTTTTCAATAAATCAATAAACTAATTCCCTCCTTCAACATGAGCTGCATACTATCAACAGTATTAGACTTGCATATAAGCCTACTTTAGTTGATCCTAATATTATTCCAACTAAAGGGTTAGCAAATATTAAAAAGTAGAACATGCTCTCACTCCAAAAAACAAAAGGACCTCTAATTTATGTTAACATTTAATAAATATTATAATTAGCAAATGTTTAATATTAGTCAAACCACACAGCTGACGGTGTGTGAGCATTTAGGGTTGAATACAGTTCAACTGAAAAGGCTTTTCTACATCATTTGTATAAACCTATATCAGTATAACACTGCCTGATGTATGGATAGCTTAGCTTTACCATACACCCCTATGCCGCTCTGTCGATTTTCACAGTGGCATTCAACATGAAGGGGGTATGGAAATTAGTGAGTAAGGGTAAGTGTCTGGGAGAGGTGCCCCCACTATAACTGACAATTAAGAGGCCTGTCAATGGGGGCTCCACTCCCACTGCTCCACAGCACATGCACCAGACAGGAAGACACCATGGTTTAAACAAACAGTAATAGAGTAGATTAGCCTTGTGGTTCCTAGCTGCTTTTAAAAGACAAAACTTCTAAAAACATAAGGTTATCTCAGCTGGGTTACTCCTCTGCCACATGCTGAAGAAGCTGTTTGTTAGTGACATTAGCAAGTGTAGAGTTAGAGAACAGAAAAATACTTCAGTCTCTGCACAGCTCTGTGTCCTTCCTGGTATTTCCTCCTATTAATAAAAGGCATGCATTTCCTGACAGGCAAGCACACCCAAACATTTTGTCTAAAGACATCAAACCACAGTGCAGGCACAAACAATGCAACCAGTGCTACAGCACCCGTGGTATTGATGGCCAGATTGGGGCGTTGGATTCCTGTTAAAGCAACAAAAGCAGTTTAGAGATATTAAAATGAGTCATGACAGTGAGTCTTTTCCATCCAGTCCATGCTGTTTCTGCTCCTACTGTAGAAACAAAACGACTTAGGCCTGGTTTAGCACTCAATGACAATAACTTTACATTAGACATTTTTCTGTGACATGTTTATGAGGATGACTTTAATGGGTATGTTTTAATAGCATCTATGAGAAAAGGTTCTTATATAAAAGACTTAAAGTAAAGGATACTAGACATACAATCATACTGTGAATCCTTACACCTAGGCAAGTGCATAGAAGTGTGAAGAGCAGAACATTATTGAACAGATTATTGTAACTTAATCAAAGTAAAGTTATAGCTATGTGCTGAATGAGTAGGGAGGAATTCTGGGTACACTTACGGCAGGACGAGGATGTTCTCAGGTCCATAGTAGTCGTACATGCCGGTCTGCTGGGCATAAGACTCATCGTGAAGGATAGGCAACTTCCGTAGGCTCTCAAAAAAAGCATTAGCTTTTGGAGCAAGCACTGTGGGTTATAGACATTTAAAAAAAAAATCATAATAGTATTTCATAGGTTTCTCTAATCAAGTTTCTTCAGTATCAGCTTAGGTGAATAATACAAAGGGTTTAAAATCATCTCAACTCCAAACATCGGTCTCACACTGAACCCTAGTGGTAAATGTAAGAATTATCATTGTTGCAGGGAGCTGGAAAAAAATCCAATTAATATTATAACAAACACTTCGAGGGACAATGAATAAGAAACATTTATAGAATATACAAATAAAAGTGAACAACTGTGAAACACTGGGCCCAGCACCACTGTTGCTGTATAATAGTTGTGGTTCAAGGCACTCTAAATTAAGGCTTGGACAAATGCTTCACTACTATTTAAACTGTATCGCCTAACTCAGTGGTTCTCAAATGGGGGTACGCGGACCCCTAGGGGTACGTTGGAGTACTGCAGGGGGTACGTGAGATTTATTTTATGTTAATGAAAAAACAACATAAGTAATGCATTTAAACAAACTACTAATAGTAGATTAACTACTTTATTCAAAAGTTTACAGTAATTCTGGATAATAAAATGGGAAAAATAAACGGGGTGCTCTCTTTTCCTCTCCCTCTCTCTCTCTCTTTCCCTCTCCTGACAGCCCGTCAGTCTCGTGCAGCTTGCTGAACCTGTACTAAGTGACCCGACAGTAAAGAATACATATATTTATAACTAGTTTAGCTAGTTCCAGAGTAGATAAACTAGCTAAGTGTGTTAGGTCTAACTCTTAGTGTATTTTGCTCCGCTCACCGGTCCGTCACAGCGGGGGAGCTGTGATCCGGAAGACCTGCGTGTTCTCCGTTATGATCTGATCTCTCTCTCGCGTCCGGTTATACTTCACTCGCGTTTATGTCCAAATCTATCAGATCTAGCTACTTCTAGTTAATTATATGACTGCCTGCTTATCAAAGGACCTAAACAATAAGCGATGCTTGGCAACGGCGTGTGGCCGCAAAGTATAGCGCAGCATTATGCATATGTTTGTATGAGGGGTTAAAATCCCATGCTCATAAAATGCTCATATATTTTTCTCTTCATTCCCCACACCCCAAAATAAATAAATATACCAATTTTAGGAAAAGTAACGAAGTTTGAGCAGTGTGGGTTTTATATTAACAGAGTTACACATATTTCAAAACGCGAAGTGTAATAATAACAGAATGACAAATATCCTCAGTGAAGCACAAGCCCATGTTTCTCACTACATTGTAAGTACAACTTATTAAAAAGATCAGTTCAATGCAAATAATGTCGTCTTAGCGTTATTGCATGATGTTAAAATTGGTTTGCCATGAATTTAGTGATGGATTGTAAACTTTTGAAATGTGGCATTTAAGTGTTACAAGGTTGTTGTTTTAATAAATCAGACACTGATGGTGCAGCGCCCTACTGTACCTCTTTATATAGGCTTTTTTCCCCAAAATTTTTTTTTGCGCTGACCAGGGGGTACTTGGCTGAATTTTCTTTTCAAAGGGGGTACATTATTGAAAAAGGTTTGAGAACCACTGGCCTAACTGGATGGTCCTCACTTACTATGCGTAGGATGCAGCATTGGTTTTTATTCATGTATAAAGCCATTTTAGGTAAGCTTCCATTGTACATATGTGCCAGATTTGCTCCAGTTTGTGACTCTTACAACCTCAGATCCAGTGCCTGGATACGGTTCCAGGTACCTGCTGTACGGACTGAGGCTGGAAAAAGGAGTCTTTTTTATTATGGTCAACAATGTGAAAGCCACCATGATGCAATAACACTGCTAATGTGAAATATACACATTTTACAATCTATTGTTGTTTTAATGTAACTGGCTGCTAATTCACATGCTTTTTTAATGCTTCTACTTATTTTAGAAAAGGTATGGTTGTGTAGTTGATTATATGAATCTATGCTTTGTCTGTGTATTTAATATGTTAGCCTAGTTTTTAATTGTCCCCCTTTATCTGCACTCTCACTTGGTTGTAACCATGTGAATTTAGGAACAACAAATAAAGGATTTTGATTCTGATTTTGACTACCTAAATACATTGAGTGAACATTGTGATTAATCTCCTGGTCATTTAATCAGATTTAGAGACAAGAATACATTTTTAAAATTACAGTATTGACAAAACAACAAACAGTATTGTCAAAAAAACAAACACCATCATGAGTTAAGTTAATACTAAACAATGTATACTGAGAGTAAAACATTGATAGGTGACCTTGGATGAAGGAGCCTGGTTCTTGAGGCTGATAGGGCCTTTGCATGTTATGTTTGCCTCACTACATGCTCCAGATGTTGCCCAATGCCTCATGTCATCTAGTTATTCATTGAGAGAATCTGTGGGGTCGATCTACATCCTGAGGGGCAGCTTGTACAGTAGTCGTGTCTTTGGCAGAGTACATCTAGGATATTCACAAACTTTATTTTAGTTGTCTGTTTTAGGTAGGGTCAAACTTTCTTAAAAAAGTGCTTCTTCTGCCAGGAGTCAAGAACTCCATAACATTTTAACTAGCTCGCTATAACCTAGCTTCAACTGTTTAGCTAAACTGTTTGCGTGACTATTTTTAGGATGCACACGCTCACATTACTGTCACGCAGGGCTTACTCGTGCCTCATGCTGTTGCAAAACAACAGCTTAAAGCAAGCAAGCTAGCGGGCTGCGATACTGTAAAACAACAACACTATGAGTTAAATTAGCCATACCCTTATCGTGAAGTGTCATCCCTATGGTTCCTCCGGTGTTGATAACCAGGACTCGTGCCTCTGGAGCGATTGGTGAAGGCTCAACGCTTTCAATCAAGTTGCAGATCGACAACTTTCTCCTTCGACATTTGAACAGCGGAATACTTCTTGTAGGACTAAGGGTAACATCGTTCATATCATTCAGATTCAGTGTAGGCTGTGACAAAGCCCTTGCAAGGGATGTCAGGTTGTTGCAGCTGGAGTCCGCCATGATGCTTCACCACCAGTGAGCCGGTGCTGCCGCTTTAAAGGAGCTTCTTGTAAGTGTTCACAACACGTTGCTATTCAAGTGCTGAGGACAGGCTGAGAGATGCTATCGCTTCTCCGGGCTTTTATACAACAACAACCAGCTTCCATCGTTACCATGTGATGAATTAAACAGAGGGTGGGTCCATAGTTTGAATCATATTCCAGTGTAATCTACACAGTATAGGACTATTCCTCATCTTAGACCCCTCACTGTATTTTTGCCCTTGAAAAACACTGCTGGACAACGTTTACTCTGACGTCAGTGTTGTGGGTGTGGCCTCAAGTGCAACAGGATTTACACTAAAACTACAGATTTAGTTTTTAATAATATTATATCTTAATGTTTACTACATCAAATACTGCAAATGTACATACAACAAAGAATATCCTAAAATAAAGTAGTGTAACCTCAGTGGTTAAAAGTAAGTAATGTTGAACAATTACGGTGAATGGTACTGGTTTTATTTATTGCAAACTTATTCTTCAATTTCATTATATCAGAGGAAAATATTGTACATGTTTTTATTTTCACATAAAACATCAATGAATTATCATTTGATAAAATATTACACTTTATATAATGATACTTTTACTTTATGTTAGCTTAATGCTTATCATTTTAACTTGACTTCACATTTTAGTGTGTCTTTTACTTGTAGTACTTGAGTATTTCGACACTGTTACTGCTACTTTTACTTACAATAGTCTATCTAAAGTGAAATATCTAATAACACCTTCCCCCCCAGCTGACATTTTATCCTTTATATTGTTTAAGATGTACCATATTTGTATGCTAATCAAGGATCCAGCCATGTATAGCCTATATTTGTTAGCTTGTAACCTTTGCTTGTAACTGACATTTCTGTGCTGTATCTCATGAAGTTAAGCTAAATCATAAACTTTATAACACGTTTCATTGCGGTAGACCTCTATGAAAGTTTGTATTTCACAAGCGAAATATATATTTTATGGATAGACTATATGCAATAATTTCATAAATGGTTGTAGCGGATAAATATCTTATCCTCTGATTTGGAATGTGATAAGAGCAATGGTTAGTCAAATGTTCAGCTTCTTCACCTAACACTGGGCCTCAGGTCACATTACAACAGCTTGTTCTGCCATCTCTTGGTTCAGGGCACAATCTGACCGGTCGTTCTAGGGACAGTTGTTAGATAAGAGTTGTAGTGGCTCCAACTTTCTAGGAAATGAGTGTTGGGGCTATAGGGAAGCATTCAGACCTCATCAAAAGACATTAGGGGCTCCTTGACTTAAATCAGCAGGAGATGCTTCTGCTGTTTTACACTAATGAGTTGCCTGTGAGGGGCCCACCACAAATTTACATAAGCATGGTTGCAAATGTTCCAACAGCATCATGCCACCGGATTTGGCAGAACTTTGCCATATTTGGTAAATAGCACATTTCCTCAAGTTTAACAGGAATACAATAGATGGTGTGTACACTGTGTCAACATCAATTTAATCCATCTGTATTTAAAATCCTCGACTGTCCATGGCCAATATCCAATACGACTTTGACGTAAGACATCAATTCAGTCTCTGGTAACTTCTTTGGTTTCAAGTTACCCTGCTTACATTAGATGTATTACCTGTCAACGTGGAATAATTAAGTGGAAATAATTGTTATTAAGTTGTTGCATTATAATAGTATAACAGGACATGCTGAATGTAAAAGTTATTACTGCTTTATTTCACTGCATCTCTTTACTCCTACAGCTTTTACTTGCATGTTTTATTGCAATGTTCATTTACATACGTGTATCTTATAATGACACAGCTGCAAAAATATCGGGTTGGCTTCCAGTATCAAGAAACAAATGTTTGATTTAAGTAATGATGTGCTATTTAAATAGTAATACTACAACAAACCTACCCCATTTCTGATATGTAGAAGGACTCATTAAAGAACATTTCTGTAAATCATTTATGTTTGTATTCTTGTCTGACATGTGTTACAGTATGTACTCCATCTGGGTTGTTCAGGAATGTAAACAATATTGATTATATGTATTGTTAAGGAACCATGATTCTGTAAAATAAATAAATGAGATTGTACAAATAATTGCATAAAGAAAAAGTTTGAAGTGTGGGTTCGCATGAGCATAATGTTTAAAGTGAAAATAAAAGTAATATTTTGGCAAAGAAAGATGTGGACTATAAACTTCCTACATGAGTAGTATCCATAGATTTTCTTACACAAAAGTCAGCTGGATATATTAACTTTCTACTGAAATGAACAACTTGCTTACTGTATAAAGAGACAGCAGCTGAGAAAAAGAGCTCGCCCAACAATCGGCCAGGTTCAATCCCCAGTCACTGAGCTTCAGGATTATCTCCGTCATCTCTTATCTTCAAATTAAACAAAAAACGTACAATGTTTCTTAGAATGTTTATCCAATTTAATTTCATGGAAATGTGTGTTACTTGTGGCATTTCTGGTAGTATCTCAAGTCTATTGGAAACTGAGAGACATACACTGAAGTAAAATATATAAGATTTACATATAACTTGTTACAACTAGGTCTATTTCAATAAAATAGATGAATGAAATGCAAAATTGGACTGCTCTTCTCTAAGTTTGTAAAAAATCTATGTAAATCCCAGCTAATGAGTTGGGGCCACCTAAGAAGGTTAGAATAATGAAATGCTGATTACAGAGTACATTTTTAGCAGTGAAATTATAGGACCACATTTTGGCATATTTGGCTTTATATCTGGAAGTAAACTTACCAATAAAGACGCCAATGTGGCACTGCAGAGGAATGTTTTTGTTCATTATTGTTTGAAGATAAAAATAACAAAATGCCAGCTCTTGCAGTTACAATTCCATAAGTATGTTACAAGACCTATTTCAGTTGGGTAAAAATGAAATGTGAAACTACACTTCCATTTATTTTGTTTACATGAACGTATTGTAATACCAACCAGGCAATAGTTAGAATTAGTTTGACCTACTGTACAGGTTACAATAATAAAATGCTGATTACAGAATGTAATTCCTTTAGCAAGTATATAACCACATTTGGCATATTTATTTATTTTTATCTGGAAGAAAACGTTACCAATAGAAAAACACCAATGGGGCCCTGAGGAAGATTGCTTTAGTTCACTAGAGTTAATAGATAAAACTTGTCATATTTTCAATATTATGTAAATTATTGGCAGAGAGAACACTGACAGGTCAGGTAAATGGTTTGTTTTATATGCGTTTGCCACAGAGACTTGTCAAAAACAGACAAAAGGAAATCATTTAAAAATATTGCTAGATATGACTGACTTTAGGTAGACTATAAACACCACAGGGGGGTGCTGTTACCCTTTACATACCTAGAATCACTATTCTAAACAGATACAACTTAGATGCTGAACATGTTATCAAAGTGATGTTTTTCAATATAAATATTTCAATATTAGTATTTTATTTGTAATGTCGTAACTCCAAAAATATACCAAAATATTAAAAACAGGCACAACTTAATAAAAAAAAAATGAACTAGTGCATTCAGAAAAAAAATATTATGAAATGTTAACTTGTGGTGTACAATTAAATAAAGTAACATTTATTTCACGTGAGTTTGTATTTTTAATAGTTGTTTCTGTATCGTGAATGCCTCAGACAGTGAAAGCTGTTGTAACGTACGACAGCAGCAGCTGAATGGAGCCGAGAGGAAGTGGCGGTTAATGCAGCTCCACACCTTTCCGGTGTAGCAGCACTGCGACCAGCTCGACTTAAAGGAGAAAGACGAGAGCTGGCTGTATTTATTGATACAGGAGGGGGAGATAGGAGGTACATTTCTTATATTTCAATTAAGTGTTTATCCCAGCGAGACGTGAGGCAAACATTTTGTCACTGTCGCACGTATTTTGTATCTATATATGGTTAGTTTTCCACAGCTAACAACCGTTATCTAGTTAGCTTAAAGCTAGCTTGCTAGGAAACCAGCTAGCTAACGTTAGCTTGCTAGCCCTCTTTAGCAGCCATGAGCGGTATCTTGCTAATTTGGCACGTCTGACCCACCTCCTAAATCTCTTTTCAGGGGGCTACGAACTGGAGTTTCATGGGTGGATACATGTGTTGCTGAGTCACAGAAGATTTCTTTTCGAAGACGTCCCTTACAGCTCGGTGAAGTTGCCCGGCGCGACGCTTGATGGACTAGCCGCAGAAAAGCTGCTTTTCTCCCCGGTAGCGGTGAAGAGAACAAGGGCGCACCCGATGAGGAGGACCGGACACCAGAAAGAACTCACAAGTAACGTGGCCTTTTCGAGGCCTTGTATACACAACGTGTCTGCTCTTTGTGGTTTTTAACCTTCGCAGCTTGTGTTTGCCAATCAGCTTTATGTTGTTTTAGTCAACAAAATGAACGTCCTGCAACAGCTGCTGCCAAGTTCTTAGTGTAACCGTGCCATGTTGTGTATAGGCCCTGCAAACATTGTGATACTCTGAACATAAACGTCCCAGCACTTAACAGGACGCACAGACTTTCAATGAAAACCCCTATAAGTACTGTTTGTTAGATTTTAACATGAGTGTGCGTTTTTGACTTTTCTCTCCGATATATGCTCTTCACTGAGTCATGTCATCACAAATAAGCCCTTAAAGCGAAGCTACAGTTAAAAGTGAATAGTCATCAGCACGGAATCTGACATTTTTCTCGTTGAAACAAAGTATTTATGCACACGATTTCAAAATGGGGAAAGTGCTGTCTAAAATATTTGGCAACAAGGAGATGAGAATATTAATGCTTGGACTTGATGCTGCTGGAAAGACAACAATCCTTTACAAACTGAAACTTGGACAGTCTGTCACCACAATCCCCACAGTCGGCTTCAATGTGGAGACTGTCACCTACAAAAATGTCAAGTTCAACGTCTGGGATGTTGGAGGGCAAGATAAGATTCGTCCTCTGTGGCGACACTACTACACAGGCACCCAAGGGTTAATTTTCGTGGTGGATTGCGCGGACAGGGATCGCATCGACGAGGCAAGGCAGGAACTCCACCGCATCATTAATGACCGGGAGATGAGGGATGCCATCATCTTGATATTCGCCAACAAGCAAGACCTCCCGGATGCCATGAAGCCACATGAAATCCAAGAGAAGCTCGGATTGACCCGCATCAGAGATAGGAATTGGTATGTTCAGCCCTCCTGTGCGACCACAGGTGATGGACTGTATGAGGGCTTGACATGGCTAACATCAAATTACAAATCTTAATGAT